AGGAAACATAGTCTTATATGGTGTTTTTGGGGTGGTAATTATGCTAATCTCCTCTCGCGTGCACGAGCAGCTGGATACGGTGGGATTTACACAGCTCAATTTCACACTTTTCCTGAAGATAGAAGAGTTTGTTGAATCTGACGTGACATGTTCGTACGAACAAAAGTAAGAGAAATTTAGGATAAGAATACGAACATGTTCTTGCATGAGGCCCAATGTGTGTGGTGAACACATGCTGTAATCAAAGATAAACATGGTCCAAACAAATATTACTTAGTGACCTTTTTGGGTGAGATACTATCCAGAGTTGTTTGAAGGAATTTATGCTTTGTATTGTAATTACTGACAATTCACTGACTGACATGTACAGAAATTAAATAGTTAATACAATACCAGTTTTAAAAAACAAGAAATGTTAGTAAAACCTTTGTTCCCCTCAGTCATTCATGTTGGCAGTAACAGATAGGACAGCAGAGCTGGTTATCACAGTGTATTTCCACTGAATGGTTTTAAAGAGCTGAGCTGGTCCTGTCCAGCGGGGGGCACTGTTGTCTGGTTTGAAGTCTGACTCTTAAATTTAGCCAGGATGGCAGCAGGTGTGGTTGCTAGGAGACCTCAGATGCAGCATCGAAGCACTTCTCAGAGGACAAAATGTTTCTGTCAGCCCAGAAAGCATGATGAATTATAAACAGGAGGAAGAAGGAGAAGCACCTCTGACTCACCCGGCTGCTGCGCACCGCACCGTTGTGGTAGAGCGGCGAGCTGCTGGCTGAGGCGTTGTAGTAGGAGGCGGTGGCTCGGACCAGCGGCCTCTTGGCTTTCTCCTTGGTGCCGTTGGAGTCGTTGTCTTTGATGATGTCGTACTGCCGGCAGAAGAGGGCGATGACGGCTGGTGGGGCAGAGCGCGGGGGGGTTAAACCCAGTGAAACAGCTGGACCTTTACCAACACACCTGGCCGGACTCACCTGCCCACAGCAGCAGCACCGTGGTGATGATGAGCAGCTCTCCGGTCTGAAGATGTGGAGTCATACCCAGACCCTCCATCGCTGGCTCATCTGTGGACACAGTCAGCTTTATTTACACTTTGTTGTCAGCAGATCAACTCAATCTGCAATAAAAAGTGATTCAAACTAAAAAATATCCAGATTCTAATGATTTGTTTTCATGGCAAACAAATCACATATCTATTAGTTAACTCTCCCTGCCTGTTAGCAAAATATCTCACGAACCACTGAACGTATTTTCATAAAACTCTGAATAAACATCTGCAAGTCATTAACTTTTGTCAGCCTAATTCAAGTTGTTCACCACAACTAATCTACATTAGCCGAACAGAGATGGATAAAGTTTGAGGTGGTGATCGCTGCGGCTCATTCACAGCACAGACTCTGACATCTGCTGATACTGTATGACCTTATATAAACAATAATGTTATTGTCCAGGTTTTACAAAAACAACTCAAGATATTTCTCTACATAAAACAAACTAGCAGCAGGTGATTCTGTCAGGGACATTTCATTTTTAATGTTTTATTTAAATTAATGGCTAAGACTTCATAATTGCTTCTAAAAGTTACCAAGCATCACACATTGTTAGCCTTAAAGGAGACCAATTTTGGGTCCTAGAAATTTTTATGGTATGTCTGTTGGCTATCCAGACCATGTTCATTCAATTTAATGCACAAAATAATTCTCAGATAATAAAATTTCCC